CTTCCTGCCCCTGGGACAGGGGGCTGGACTCGATGATCTGCCGGGGTCCCTTCCAGCACAAATGTCTACGAAATCTATGAAATCAAAGAAGGACATGCCACTAGAAATGTCAAACAGTTCCACAGATCATTGGATCAAGCGTCTGCAGAGACGAACACTGGGTGGACAGGGAGGAACTGAATTCGGGTGATTTTGGACACAGAATGGGAGATGCTTTTCAATATAAAAATCGTTGAACTTCTCAGAAAGGAAAAAAATTAAAGCGCACTTCGGGCTCATACTGTAGAGAATTTATGAGAAAATGCGACTAATAGTAAGTGGAGTTGGATGATGGTGAAATACGAATGCATCTTTAAGAACTACTCTTTAATACCCCTTCACTTCTGTAGTGGTCAGCTTGCCCAAACAAGCAAAAGCTTGGTCACAACTATTAAGAGAATCAATGAGAAGAGGAGATTTTTTCCCTTCCTCTTCTGTTCCTCTCATACTCACGCTGAAAATGTCCTGGTCCGTCGGGTTGGAAGAGGACTGGGAATAAGGTAACCTCGCATGGGAGATGGAGAGCGGTCCCTCGTTCTGCGGTGTTCAGGAATACGAAGAGAGCCTGGAGACGGTGGAGAGGCGGGGGACTTCTCCGGAGCTGTAGGTGTGGGTTCAGAAGACATTTCTGAAGCTTAAGTAATATCTACAGAGAGAAAAAAATATTCTAATTTAGTACATGACAGATTTTTTTGTAAAGCCCATACTTTTAGTTGTGAAGGAATGTGCCATTTCCTGCACCCTTACGGCAAAAATATTTAGTTTTCTGGCGTAAGGCTGCAGGAAATAACACATTCCTTCACAACTAAAAGCATGGGCCAAAGATACTGTCATGCATCAGTGAGTCTATTTTTGATCATACAATTCTCACAAACTGTATTAGGAAATCCAATGGAAGCATGTTGTCTCATAGACTTGCTGCTCGTTACCAGTGCAGTTTGGCTTGACTCACTTGACAGGTTAGTTGGCGTAAGAGAGGATGTGTGCATCCCTAAATTCTTGCCTAAAGCTGTATTTGAAAAAAGAAAAAACCCTTCAATGTAGACATAGTTGCCACATAAATCAGGTAACAGGAAATACTAATAAGCATACATCTTAAATCCTGTTCCTATCAGGGTCTTTGGTGCTTGCATCAGATCAGGATTCACAGCTTGGAACCCTTCTTTCCTAAAAATACGAGCCCCACATTGTTAATTTCAAAAATGCAGCAGGGGCCATGCCTCTTGTCCAGAACACAGGGGAAGTGGTAATGATTCCCAGTCTTTTATACAACTGGGGCACTTGAGCATTCTTGGACTTAGGCACCTAAAGTGAGACTGACTCAAATTGCTGCTGTACCAGGCACAAGTGTAGACACTGCGCACGGGAGCAGTTGACTTTAGCTTGAACAGCTCTCTGGAATTTATTGTGTCACCTTAATAACTTCAGAACATGAAGAAAAAAGCAGCTAGCCTCAACAGCGACAGATACTTTCTAAGCCTCTGCAAGGAACACAACCGCATTCCCAAAGGACTGAACATCTACAATCCTCTAACCATCATGACATACAACTCCAAATACGCTGCACAGTTCTGCAGGAGATCTTCAGAAAAATGTAGAGACCACCTCCTTCACATACTCTACTCCAAAAGAAATCACCTCAAGCAGAAAATCAACACATGCTACAAGCACCTACAAGAGATGAATCCGGATATTGCCCCAAAAATTATACAACATATACAGCAAGACTACAAAGATTTATTACAGAATCCATCCAACCCCCAAAAAAGAAATGGAACCAATTACTACAAGAGCAACTTTCCCAGCCACAAAACAGAAGAAACCAATGAAAAAGACCTTTATATTCTGCCCATCACTTCATCCACTCACCCAGCAACAGTCTTGAAAGTCATTCTTGCCATTTACTTCACGGGAACTGATCACAGTGTGCAGAGCTAAGTTGCT